CATCCATCATGATCCTCACTTGGCTTAAGACATAAACGTTTTCAGAACCCATATCCTAGCCTCCAAAAATATCCTGTTCATTTGATCAGGGGAGCATCTGTCATGGTCATTGGCCTTGGGCTCAGATGGCCTGAATTATCTGGTTCCCGTATGCAGCCTTAGTTAAAAAAGATCTGGTGTGAATAATTTAAACGCCATTGCCTTTCCCCCTTTGCAGATTTCCGATGCCGAGCTCATCACCATCTCAGCACCAGCAAAGAAGGGCTATTCCTGTCCCCGATGAACACTTCCTTCTGGGGAAGGTGACTCTGAGGGGCTGCAGATGTACTGGCAGGAAGGGTTCAGGCAAGGACAGACGTGTCTGTGGGTGAGCCCAGATGGCCCTCTCTGGATACTTCTCTGGGAACTTTTGATGTTAGTCCTCACCACTCCTTCTAATCCAAGTTGGAAGCACACCATTCAGATGCCTGCTCTTTCATCTCTCCTTTCTTCTTTGGGGACTACTTTGTTTAAAACTAGACTTGCTACATTTCTCCTCTGGAATTTCCCTTCAGACTTCAGCTGATTAAAACTTTCAAAAGCAAGTTAGATATGTTGTTGTTGTTAAGTGCCATTGAGTCCGTTCCAACCCACAGTGACTCTGTGGAGGGTTTTTGAGGAGCAACTGGTGAGTTTTAACCACTGGCCTTATAGTTCAAACTGACCTTATGGTCCAGTGCAGTGCTTTTCCTACTGTGCCACACCAGGACTGCAAGTTAGAGATAGGGGGGTGGGGGGGAAAGAAAGAAAACAATTCAGTCAAACCAGGAAGGAACTTCTTGGAACCACAGAACACTTTTTAAATTGCCTCAACCACTCTCTTGCCTCTAAGTGGATAGCCTGGGTTTTAAAAGTCCTACTTGTGTGAGCCCAAGGAAGGTTTTACAGACACCCTCTTGGTTTAAACAATCAAGCACTCAATAATTTAGGGACTGATGGGCCAGGATGTAGATTACTCAGAATCCTCTGCTTCCCCTCCAGTTCTGTCTGTCCTTGGGGCAGTTCTGCCCTTGTTTTTTTTTTTTTACAAAGGGGGTAGGGAAAGGAAGAAGATTCTAGGCTGTGGGGTTTGCTATTTGTTAGCTCCCTGGGAAAGATATTTCCACATTCCTGCTTTCCCTGCACTGGCCTCCCTGATGTTTACTGGCATCTAGTCTGCTGAGTGATGCTGAACCAGGGAGATCATCTTTTTGTGTGGGATATATGTAACTACAGGCAGGCAGGTGTTGATGGATGGAGGGGAAAGTGAGCTGAGGAGAAAGCAGGCATCTTGCATGAAAATGTCCAACAGACTCTGTCACCAGCCTCAGAGGGGAGGGCAGGTTCTCTCAGTTTGTTGACCCTTTGAAGGGGTGTCCATTGAGCCCTTAGGCAAACACAAGAACCCCGCTTTCCCACTAAGTCTCCTTATCTGTCCTGCAGAGTCCTGGGCACAGACAAGGCTTGGGCATCTCTGAGCAGGCCAGGCTATGAGTGGGGAGAGTAGAGACACTGGCTTTCTTAAAGGGTCAGCCTGTATGACTGACTTGTATACGGATCATGTGAGAAGGGAATGAGGAAGGAGAGGCTGTGGTTAATGACTCAGGAAGCAGAGCCTTGTCAGCTGCTAAGCCTTAGGCTCTCTTTTTGGTCTTAGAAGCTGTCAAGTAGAAGGGCTCTGATGACTCCACTGTTCTCCCCAAAAGTCAATGATTCTGGATATCCTCCATGAATGCCTGAGTGCGCCTCACTCTCATCCACCCAGCATCCCTCAGTTCTTTAGCACTGGCTGGAGTGTTGGACCAGGTGACTCTCAAGTTCCCTTGTACACTGGATTATGCTTAGACCCATATGCATGTGCAATAAGCTGTTCTTTCCACACTTGAATGGGAGCAGTGGACAGTCACATGGCCAAAGCCTCTAGGGTCTCATTGTAACCTCCTTGGTCTTGTGTCCCGGGTTCTGGGCCGGGCCTGTCTTGTACCCAAGCATTTCTGAATGTAGCTGCTTGGGAGTTCCATGGAGATGGAGAAGAGTGTGCACCTCTGAGCATGGTATTGGCTTCTCTCTCTGTCTTCTATCAAACTGGCCTTGCCCATATGAAACTGACTCTTGGAGGTGATTCAGACAGACTGGAATTCAAACTCCAGCCCCATCTTCCCCACCAGGAGCCCAGCTTTCTCCTCTCTCAGGTGGGGTGCATCCTATCTTCCTGGAGACAGAGTAGTACAGTGCTGTTGTTGGTTGTTGTTTAGTGCCATCGAGTCAATTGCGACCCTATACAGGGTTTCTGAGGAGCAGCTGGTGGGTTTGAACCACAGACCTTGTGGTTCGCAGTCCAGTGCTAATTTGACAATGCCACATCAATAGCTTGGGAGCCAGACCTTGTGGCAAGTGTCCTGGCTCTGTTGTTTAGTTGCTGTGTGGCTTTGGGCAGATTACTTAACTTCTCTGTGTCTTCATCTATGACATGATGTGATAACAGTAAATGCCTCATGGGGCTGGAAGGGGCCTTGGTACCACACACTGGGATGCTAACCACAAAGTCAGTGGTAGAAAGATAAACCGTGGGAGAAAGATAAGGCTTTCTACACCAGTAAAGATTTACAGCCGAGGAAACCCTATAAAGGGTCACTATGAGTTGGATCCGACCCCATGGCACATAGCAGCAGCAGCGTGGGGCTAAGGTAAAGATTAAAGGGTCAGCAGGTTGAAGACAGTGCTTGGCATGTAAGAGGTCATTATTATTGTGACTTTGTAGGGTTGCTGTATGGATAGATGTCCCCTGACAAAGGGCCTGTGCCTTCCTTCAAGGTTATGGAGAGATTGGGCTTGGGTGAATCCTGTCCTCCTTCAACAAGATTACTGATGGGAGGAAGAAGCTGCTAGAGAGAGCACCTCCCGGTATGAGGAGTGAGAAAGTTCACCCTAAGACCTCAAGGTCAAGGTGAAGGCCTCATTTTCTACAGGGTGCAGCTGAGCAGGCCAAAGATGGAATCCCTGGAGAAGTAGGCTCTCTCTGGGCCCAAAAGCAATGGTCAATAAAATCTGGATGGTCCCTGTATGCTATTCCTTGCACTGGCTGGTCAGGTGGTACCAGGGCCCTCTATTCCTGGACAGCTACTCCCGGCTTACTGAAGTCATGACCTGTATCATCACTAAGCTCACATTTATCAGCTCTGTGTGGTGCTGAGGAATTCACAGGGACCTCAGCTTCACAACTCTGACCATGGTTAGTCACACGAAGGAGGATGAGATGGGATGTAGCTGGCTCTGGGCACACCTGACCTCACTGCTGGGAAAACAGCTCCAAGCTCTGGTGGCACTTGACCCTCACCATCCACGCTGCCAGCACATTGACTCTGCACTGTCCCACAGAGCAGAATTAAGGAGTTCTTCAAGCAGAGAAGAGCCATCCTGCTGAGCCTGTGCACAAGGAGCTTTTATATCCAGGGCTACAGAAGTAGGTCATGCTGGTGAGCCAGGCTGCAGGGGTGGCCCCTCAGGTGTCTCTCTGCATCCTCACCACTCCTCTCCTCTACCTCAGCTGCCCTTAGTCTTGGTGGCATAGGCTAGAGACTGTGAAGCTGATGGTGGCGGTCTGGAGGCAGGGTAAGGAGAACACAAGAGCTCTCTCTTCAAAGGCTTGTTCCCCACTGCTGAGTCCTTCAGACCCAACCTGGTTTCTCTTTGAGGCTTGGATTGGCTCTACCTCTGGCACATCCTTGCTAAGTCTGAATGTTTTGCAGCTTCCTTGGTCTTTCTCTCTCTTCCCATGTATTGGACCCCCTGGAAGGAGATGGAGGGGAGGGAGAGGCTGCCCAGGCACCTGAGACTGTTACTACTGACAAGTACACTGAAGTAGAAGTATTGGGAGTTTGACAGGACCTGGAGCCAGACTCCACGACTTTGTCCCTGCACGTTCCACTCTGGCCTCCTTTCCTGACATTCTGGACAAGCTATGGGTTTCCACTCCAGTTTCCCTGTCAAGAAGACTATGGTGCCCACACCGCCATCCATGAAATAGTCTTGCCCAAACCATCAAATCTGAATCGGATCAAGCTTCTAGATCTGTGAGAACACATGAAACACTGCCATAGGAATGTCATTAGAAAACCTAGACTGGGAGAAACTCAGCATGAAAATGGCCTGGTTCCTCCAACAAATAAATTACAAGGGGGTCCGGGGTGGGGGGAGAAGATTGATGGGGAATTTATAGACTAAAAGAAACTTGAGAGGAAAATCAACTAATTTTAATTTATAAACCTAATTTAGATTTTGATTCAAGCAAATTAAGAATAAACAAAACAAAACCAGTTTACAGGTCACTTGGGGAAATGAGAAACTGCCTGGTGATTGCATATATTAAGAAAAGAATTGCTAATTATTCTTAGGTTTGATAATGGTAATGTCATTGTGTTGTTAAAAAAAAATCCTTATTATTTTATAAACACATACTGAGATATTTACAGATGACATGGTGTCAGATTGCTTCAAAATAGCCCAGGGTTGGGGGTGGGGCAGGAAGAAGGGGAGAGGTAGGTTGGCCGTGGTGAGGATAACTTGACTCAGTGAGCTTCATCAAAGGATTGTTTTGAGGTTTTTGTATAGATTTTACAATTATATACAAAAAATTGTATTTAAAAAAATCCTATGGTAAGATCTAGAAGGATGTAGGAGGGAGGAAGGGAGAAAAAGAAGGAGGAGAAGAAGGATGGGGAATCTAGGTCCTGAGAACAGGGGCCCAAAGAACACCAGCCCCAAGAGCAGCCACCCCATCTTCAGCTTTCCCACGGCCTCAGCATCCTTGTCAGTCCAGGGCTGGAGGCCTGATCACTTGATGGGGATACTCAGCACAGGGAGATCGAATTGGAGGACTGGGGTGAGGGGGCTCCAGTGTGGTTCCTGAGGCCCAGGGCCGGTTCCCTCTCCCCACCAGCAGAGGGCAGAGCGCAAGGAGTGCAGGGGCGGCCCGCACTCACAGTGGAGAGGCAGCTCCTCTGCTCGCGGATGATGGCGCCGAAGCCCAGGAAGCCGGTGACCATAACGAGTGCGCCTGCGAAGATGAGGATGTAGGCAGAGGCGGCGAAGGTGCTGGAGGCCAGGACGCTCAGGTAGCCACTCTTCTCCACCAGGGTCCAGATGCCCACTGCCATGACCGATGCGCCTCCCACCTGCAGGAAGTCACCAGGTTAGAGCAAGGCAGCTACTTTCACTGAGTGCACAGGGCATGTTTATACACCATATCATTGAATCCGACAAAGAGCCTGGGAGAATGGCTTACCCGACTTTATGGATGAGGAAACCAGACTTTATAGATGAGAAAATCAGAGTTTAGATAGGTTAAGTGACTTGTCCAAGGTCATATGCCCAGTGACTTCTTGTTGTAAAGTGCCATCGAGGCGGTTCTGACTCATAGCGACCTTATATAGGGTTTCCAAGGATCAGCTGGTGGACTTGAACTGCCAACCTTATGGTTAACAGTTCAGTGCTTATCCTACAGCACTACACCAGGACTCCAATGCACTCAGTAGCTAACTGGAATGTCGGTGGATTCAATCCACCAGCTGGTCTGTTTGAAAAAGATAGGCGGTCTGCTTTCTTAAATATTTACAGCTTTGGAAACCCTATGGGGCAGTTCTACTCTGTCCTTGGTGTCACGATGACTAAGAATTGACCCCATGGCAATGGGTTTGGTGGCTAACAATATTACCTATAACAAAACAAAAGTACTGTTACGTACTGAAAGTATTAGTGTGAGTGCCCGTGTCCTTAAGATGCCAGATGGGGAGTCTTAGTGGTGTTTCCCCTGGATTAGAGGATCCCTGGGGCCTCTGACCATCTCTGCCATCTGCTTTTGGGAAGGCAGGCTCCCGTCTGGTCCAAAGTCCATCTTCTCCCATTTATAGGTAGCTCCTTCCTTGGATTGGTGACAAATGCTTTTTCAAGGGCTCTAGGGTGTAGCCAAGTCTAGAGAAGCCCCCCTAGGCTCCATCTACTCTCTCCAATGATAATCACTGTGAGGTGTTCCCTATTTGCCTCAGAGTGCTTCCCTGTCATTTCATAGTCCTCCGTTTGGGGTAGGCACAGAATCAGCTGAGCCAATGGAAGGTGGTTCTTGCAATGAATATACATGAGATACTAATACTACTCAATTTACATGAACTGTACCATTTATCTTCTCAGCTTTGCAAAAGTTCTGTGCGGGATTGGGGGATAGATATTATTTCTGCTTTTCAAATGAAAAAACTGGTTTTGGGGAGAATAAGAACTTACCTTAGAAGACACCACTGGAAAGTTTCAGAACTGAGTTTCAGTTCCAGGTCTCCTAAGGATAAATCCAGGACTTATCCTTTGGTCTCACAGAGTGGACTGAATCTGCCCTTCTACTCAATTCCACTTTTTAAATGCTGTTGTTGTTAAGTGCCGTCAAGTCGGTTCCAACCCATAGCGACCCTGTATAGGGTTTCCAAGGAGCAGCTAGTGAGATTGAACCTCCAACTTTGCAGTTCAGACGGCTTTGCAGTCTGGTGCATTAATCTACAGAGCCACACCAGGACTCCACTTTTTAAATGGTGGTGGTGGTTATGTGCCATGGAGTCAGTTCCGACTCATACCGACCCTGTACAGGGTTTCCAAGGCTGTAAATCTTTACGGGAGCAGAAAGCCTTATCTTTTCCCCATGGAACAGCTGGTAGTTTCGAACTGTTGACCTTGTGGTTTGCAGCCCACTTTTTAAATAGGAATGTTCTACTCAAAGTGTCATCTTATCCACCATTAGCACCTTTCTCAGGTAAGAGAAGCAGCTGGAAGGAAATCACACAGAACTGCAGCTATGTCACTCGGAAGGAACGGGAGAGGTTAATGCGTCATATTTCTTCGATTCTAAGATGCACATTTTCCTCAGATTTTAGCATCTCTCAAATTGGGTGCATCTTATAATTGATGACCGCTTAGAATTATATTTGGCAGTGCTTTTTCTTAGTGGTACGCAAATGATGGTGTGTCTCACAATGGATGAGAACTAAGATTTGATGAAATATGAAAGTAGAGGGTTTTAAAAACAATTCTCTGTGGGTGTAGGTTATTTGTGACCCATACAACCTGCATGAGCAGTAAGGAATTTCCAGAGTTTGGGTCAAAGTGTGGGTTTCCAACAAAGAATTCTGCACATGTTAATTCTGTCCCTACAGCATGCCTGGATAGCTTGGATGGAGGGTCCTAGCATTTCTGTTACTAGCTCTCTGGGTGTCAGTTTCTTCATCTTTCACATAAATGGGTTGTACGAGACCAGTGGAGACTCTGGGTGGTACACTTAGCTGCTAACTGAAAGATACCTCAGAAAAAAGACCTTGTGATCTATGCTGAAAAACCAGTTTTTGAAAATATTATGGAGCACAGTTCTACTCTGACACACATGAAGTTACACATGGGGTTGCCATGTGGTAGAGCCGACTCCATGGTAACTGATTTATTTTTTATCAGGCTGTTGTTGTTATGTGCCATTGAGACAGTTCCAACTCGTAGACACCCTGTATAGGGTTTCCGAGGAGTGGCTGGTAGGTTTGAACCATCTGCCTTGCATTTAATTGTCCAGTGCTTATCCTATAATACCATACCAAGATTAATTTTTTCAGTAGGTTGTTGTTGTTAAGTGCCATTGAGTCGATTTCAACTCATAGCAATCCTGTATAGGGTTTGCGAGGAGCAACTGGTGGGTTTGAACCTCTGACCTTATGGTTAGCAGTCCAGTGATTATCCTACAGCACCAGACCAGAGAGTCCTTTATTAGGTTGTGGTTCCCAATTTATTACCACCAAGGACCCCTTGGATTAATTTTTCCACCTGTATCTTACGTTTTGAAGGCTTTGCTTGTCAAACACAATGCCTTCATGAAGTAATAATTCATTTGTTAGGCTTTTCTCATATACAGAATTGACTGTATTTAAATATACCAGCAATGAGTAATCTCAAAATCAAATTAAGAAAATAGATTCATTGACAATAGCATCAGAAAAGATGAAACTCTTGGGAATAAATTAAACAAAAGAAGTACAAGGCATGTACTCTGGAAAATATAAAACATTGCTGAGAGAAATTAAAATTAAAAATGCAAAAATTCCTGAGCAATCTAAATAAATGGAAAGACACTCCATGTTCATGAATTGCTTAATTTAATATTGTCAAGGTGGCAATTATCCCCAAATTGATCTCCGAATCAACCCAATCCCTGTTAGAATCTCAGCAGGCCTTTTTGTAGAAACTGATATGATCCAAAAAAGCTTCCCCCCTTTGAGGAGCTTGTTCCTTATGGCTGTTATTGTTTGGCTGAAAGGGGCTCTCCAGGAGTGGGTTCATGTCCACATGTGAAGGGGTATCTAAGGGCCACAGTCTCTGGGCCTCCACCACTCTCCATCAGACCAGTAAATCCTAACCTTTTTATGATTTTGAATTTTGCTCTATATTTTTTCCCACTCTGTCCAGGACCTTCTATTGTGATCCCTATCAAAGTGGTTGGTAGTGGTAGCCAGGAACCATCTAGTTCTTCTGGTCTCAGGTTGTGGTTCATGTGGTCTATAAGTCCTTCAGGTCCTTGAGGCTTTTATTATTATTATTTTTTTCACTCTTCTTTGCTCTAGATGGAAATAGAACAATAGTTGTATCTTAGATGGCTATTTTCAAGTTTTTAAGACTCCAGTTGGTACTCACTAAAATAGGACTGACTTTATGGTTAGTACTGGACTGCTTACCACAAGGTCAGTGGTTCAAACTCACCAGCTACTCCTTGGAAACCCTACACAGGGTCACTGAGAGTCAGAACCAATTCCATAGCACTTAATAACAACAACAAAATAGGATTGAAAACCACTGTTTTTATGGACTACTGCTGTTAGGTGCCATAGAATCGGTACCAACTCATAGCAACCCTATGCACAACAGAATGACACATTGCCCAATCCTACACCAATCTCACAATCGTTGCTACGTTTAAGCCCATTGCTGCTCTCACTGTGCCAATCCATCTTGTTGGGGGTGTTTCTCTTAATCTCCGTCCCTCTACTTTACCCAACATGATACCCTTCTCCAGGGACTGGTCACTTCTAATAATATGTCCAAAATATGAGAGACGAAGTTTGGCCATCCTGGCTTCCAAGAAACATTCTGTTTGCACTTCTTCCAACACAGATTGGTTTGTTCTTGTGGCAGTCCATAGTACTTTGAATATGCTACTCCAACACCGTAGCTCAAATGTGTCAATTCTTCTACAGTCTTCCTTATTCACTGTCTAACTTTCACATGCATATGAGGTTATTGAAAATACCATGGCTTGGGTCAGGTGCACCTTAGTCCTCAAACTGACATCTTTGCTCTTCAACACTTTAAAGAATTCTTGCCTAACACAGTACATCATTTGATTTCTTGTATGTTGCTTCCATGAGTGTTGATGGTTGCTCTGAGAAAAATGAAATCATTGACAACTTCAATCTTTTCT